TAGTTCACCAGCTTTCACCAAGACAGCCACCTGACGAGGAGGCTGGTTTTGTATTTTCCACCTCTGTGGTCGGAGAGCAAGAAACATCAATACAGATTGTTCGGAATCGCAGATAGTCAGCAGTGAGTTCTGGAATTAGAACGCGTCTCAGTATTTATCTGATAGGACCCGGCAGCTTTAAAAACCTCATTTCATCGTAAGCAGTTCTCTTTTCGAGACCTGCGGCACGACGTGCTGTCTAGGTGCTGATGGGCTTCGCCAGCCCTGCCCCTGGGGCGTGTGGTGCTGCTGGGCGACGTCAGCAGCAAATCGGCTCTCGCTGTTTTGCCACATTTCAGCTTCCTTTGCCTTCTCGTTATGTGCAGGAAGAGATTTTGAGGGTAGGGTCCTTTTTTAAAACCCAGACCGTTAGGTCCCCCTGGCCTATTCCATGGGAAAAGAGCAGGGAGTGGGGACGCGTGGGGTGAGGCTGAGGAGCCCTTTTCTGTAGTGGGCATGTACACTCCCAGAATGCAGTGCAGAGCCAGGCGGCGTGGAGAGCGGACGGGTCGTGATTCGGTACTTCCCAGTCTGTCCCTCACCGCTCCGGTGTCCAGTGTGAACTCACGGGGTCCCACGTGCCTGTGTTTTGGCCTGCAGCAGAGCTGCCCTCCTGACTAAGCTCCTGCCCGTCAGTGTCCCCTCACACCTGGTTGGGCAGGTGTCCAGGGCAGCGACATGCCCTCCTCTCCAGTGCCAGAGTCTCATTTTCTTGTCTATTTCCCACACGAGGATTTCAGTTTTAATTCTAGCAGACGAAGGACCAGAGTTTCTGGAGGTTTTTATTCCACTAAACCCTGTTAGCTCCCCAGAGAGGGCGTTTTCCTGCTCTGCCGGGTCTCCCCTTACACTCGAGTGGTCTTCCCAGGGGTCGGCTGTTCTCCCGTGTTATCAGGGGAGAAAGTCTAAGTGGGGAGCCCAGGCACGAGACATGTCCGTCACACCCGTTTGACTCTGCCGTCCCTCCTTCCTCGCCGGCAGGCTAAGGAGCGGGAGCTGGAGCTGAAGAACACGTGGTCGGAGAGCAAGCTCAGCCGCCGGCAGACTCAGGCCAAGTACGGGTTCTAGGGCCCTGCGCTGGCCGCACGTCCCGGAGCGTCCGCAGCCCGGCCGCAGCTCCAGCTCTGGCGCGCCAGCTGCTCCGAGCCCAGGACCTTGTTGCCTGAGGACCCAGCCCTCGCCTCCGCGAGAACGAACATATTTGATAGATTTTTCTTAACAAACGTTAGAAAATTTAGCTCCTTTCCGCCTTGGAGCTAGCAGACTCGAGTGATGGCTCAGAAGGGGCTCCGAGTTCTGGGTGGGAGTTTTGCTCCCCGTTGGGTGTGATGAAATGTTGAACCCCGCCCTCCTTTTGCTCCCCGTTGGGTGTGATGAGATGTTGACCCCCGCCCTCCCCCTTTTTTTTTTTTTTTAAACCAGGGATGTTTGTTGAAATAAAACATGGAGTCTGACAGACGCAGCCGGCCCTGCCCCTGTCTCCCCTTCGGCGCGGTCTCCTTTTCTGTCCTGGAGCCCCCTCCCCTGGCGCCCGGCCTCGGGTCTCAGGCGGGACCCCACGGGGAGCACCCTGTAACCCGCTGCGACCTGCGCTTGCTTCTCTGGGCCCATCGTCTAAACGGTGCATGGCCGCCGAGGGCCCCGGGAGTTGCGTGTACGATGTGTGTGGTGCCGGGGCCTGCGGCCTCAAATGTGGTGGTTACTGCCCATCTCGGTGTCTTCGAAGATGGGGAGGTTGGGAGGATCTTTCTGGAACAGAAGAGTCATTAGATGTGAGATTCGGTCCAGCGAGAGGAACAGTGGCGAGACACCCATCCCTGAAGACGCTACAAGTGGTAGTCAGTGGCCTGGACTGGTTTGGAGGCTCTGCATGGAGCTTGGGGGCTAGACAGGTCTCCTGGGAGGCTTCCGGACCCCTTGTTTGCTGTCAAGGGAGCGGTGGTTGGGGCGGGGAGCCAGTGGGGTGTATGGCCTCAGGCAGCGGTCAGGCACTGTGATGCTCCAAAGCGACCAGGTAGGTGGCATGTTCCTCCCCATCAGGGCCAGATCGAAGTAGGCAGGGAAGACGCACGCACTGGCCTTAGAGCTCTGTGCGTGCAGGCCTTCCGGACGCGTGCTGCGGAGGACACGGGACCCCAGCAGGGCTCAGGTGCGGTGGCTCCTGCGGAAGGGAGTGAACAGAGCCCCGTGAGAAGGCGGGGCCTGGGCACCAGGCAGAGGGGCGCTGCCGGGACCTACTGAGATATACTGGGCTCCAGCTGTGGGCGAAAGAGACACGCAGAGGAATTGGTGTCCGACCGTCCTGGTGATGGAGGAGGGTTAAGGCCAGAGGGGCAGTTTAAAGAAGCATGCGGTGGGGGCTCGGGGCTGCGAGGGGAGAGGCAGAAGCAAGGCCTCTCACCGTGCTGGGCTGGGGGGCCGGGTAAGTCGAGTCTGTTGTCATTAAGTGCAGAGGACGGTTTCATCGCTTACAGGAAAACTGCCGCTTATCTGAAATCTGACCTACTTCGGGTTGGAGCCAGACAGGGCTGCTGTGTCCCACTGGGACACTCGGCTGTAGTTGTCCAAGACAGTGCATCCAGCTGGCCTTCAGCAGGGAGCGTCAGCCTGTCCCCGCAGCCATGAGGAGTCCGCTGTCCTCTCCTGTGTCCACGGTGCTGCAGGGCGGTGCTGCCCCATCCCCAGGGGCTGCTGTCCTGGGACTCAGCTCTCCTGGGGGCCGGGTCGTGATGCAGGGCCGGGCGGCAGGGTGGTGGGGAGCGGGCAGGGTGAGGCCACGTATTTTTAAGGTCCTTTTTGCCTCTCACCTTTGGTTCTCTGCAAGTAATCTTAAGGCACTTTTTTTTTAAGCCATTTTTTAGTTCTACCGAAGATGACGTTTTATTTAGTGAGTGGATTTTCTTGGTCCACGGATGTTGGCAGGGTTGAAAGTGGACGGACTTCGCCTGGGAGGGCCTCCTGGAGGCGGGCGATAAACAGGAGAAGATGGGCGGGGGCGAGGGAGACGGGTATGGAATGGCACTTGGCTAAACTTGGCAGGTGGCAACAGCCAGGGACAGAGGGAGAAAGGGGCGAAGGCCAGGGTCAGAAAAGGGTCCAGACAGGGCGGGGCTGGCCCAGCTCCAGTGCAGCCTCACCCCGACCTGGACAGCGATGCCGCAGCAGCCGGGGGGCAGGGGTCCGCCTTGGAAACTGCAGAGCCGAGCGTCGGGGAGGCGTCCAGCTCCGAGCCCACAGCGCCTGGTCCGGGACTGGGGACAGGCCGGCCAGTCCTCTCCCAGCTGGACCACGCTTGCTGCCCAAGAGACCACGTCTGTTGAGCGTGGTCGAAGTCCTGTGGGGCCTGCCCCTGCCCCTCTGCACCTGGCTTTCTCTCAGGTAGAGTCAGGTGTCCCAAGGCTAGTACAGGTCACGGAGCGTGCTCCGTGACAAGTGGGTTCACGGGGGCTGATGTGCTGGGGTCCTGGACTTGGTCGCTGTCCACTCCCTGCCCCAAGCCAGCTGCAGGGCACCTCGCCGAGACCGCTGCCTCCGCTGGGGGAGCGGGGAAGGACTGGGCCTGCAGCAGGGGCTGGCACTGGCGGGGAGGCCGGGCCCCACGGCCAGGCCTCAGTGCATCAGCCGTGCCCTGACGAGGCAGGGGTGATAGGATGACCGTGGATCTGTTGGGACACCCCCCATCCTCCCCGCCCCAGGCTCTCCAGTGGCGCGAGCAACCTGCTTAGCATGGTGGCTCCTTTTGGGGTACAAGTCGCCTTCTCCATCCCAGGGTCTCGCCGCAGCCCCAGTTAGCGAGCGGGCTGGTGCGGGGGGCCCGGGGCGGTGTGTGGAGGGGAGGCTGCTGCTGGAGCCCTCAGGAAGATGGAGACTATACCCTTCTCTTGGGGGGGCTGTGGCATAAGGGGAGCCCTGGATTGGGGTGACAAGGTTCGGCCAGGCCCAACTGCTGCCAGCTCCTTGGCACCTCCTCTTTAGAGCTCAGTTTTCGCTGTGGCTGATTTTTTTTGAACCGCAGTGGCAGTCACACGGTCCGAAGTCCCTCCTGGTCCCAACTGTCCCTCTGCCGACTTCACTCGGACGGGCTCGCCCGTCTGCAGCAGCCCGTGTGCCGTGAGGAGGCGGCACCTCCGTCTCAAGGGCATGTGGGCACAGTGCTCGGAGAAGAGGTCTCCCGGGCAAAGGGCACAGGGCCACGACCAGAGCTCAGGGCTCCTGATGCCACCGTCCGAGTCCCCTCCCCGCCCTTTTAAGGGAGTCCACCCCCAGCTGCGTGGAGCTCAGGGAGGCAGAGGCTCTGTCCCCGCCCCAGGGGTCACTAGGTAGTTCTCCTCTCCCTAGCTGCTCCTCCCGGACATATCCTGAGGTCCAAGGAAGCTCTGCTCCTCTCCCCCACCCCTCCCCATGCCCAGGACTTCCTACCGACAGCAGGAAGTGGGACCCCAGCTCTGTTGACCTAAGCCGATGAGCACTGGAGTATGGAAAGGAGGGGATTCACCACCCACCCTGCTCGGTGGCAGCGCCCAGGCCTAGGGGCCTTAGCTTCAGGAAAGGGTCTGCGGGGTTTCCGTGCCTCTGGCAGGAGAGGGGACCCTCACGGGCACTGACTGCCTTGAACAGGCTCACAGGACACCTGGGCCTGAGCGGCCTCGGGCTGGGGAGGGGCGGTCTCTGTTCGGAGCCCTGAGCACAGTGGGGTGGACTCAGCCCAGCCATGAAGAGCCCCCAGTCTGAGGTGAAGACCAGGGCAGACCCTTCCAGCAGGGTGGGGTGGGGCTCTGCAGGGGGCTGGAATGGGGAGGGGGGTCCTGACAAAGGCGAAGGCCCACCGCCTGGGCCTGGCCCGGGAAACGGGGAGTCTTGGAGCCGCTGCAGGGCGCCCCCCTCCCCAGTCCCGTGCTTGGCAGGGGGTCCCTCCCACCGCTTCTTTCTCTGCCCCTTTCCTGGCTTCCCCGGGAGATGCGGCCGCCCTTCCGTCCCTGGCTCCCTGGCTAGACCGGCCCAGTTAGGGAGGGAACACGTTGCAGAAAGAGGTCTGTGTCCCCTGTCTTGGGGTCTCCCGGTCCCCAGCCCACAGATCGGTGACCCTGTGCATGTGTCTCACCTCCCAGACTCCTCTCCCCATCACTGCAGTGGTCCCACCACCTGCCTTGCACAATATGGGAGAGACGGAGGCAGGAGGAGCTGGATCCCTGTGGGCGCGGAGGTTGGCGATGATTTATTAACCAGACAAGAATCAACAAATTTCTAACATCTGTTCTCGCCGAACTGCTCCTCAGACGACAGCAGCATTGCAGCAGGGCCCAGCCCCGGGGCTTGGAGGTCTGGGGAGTCAGACCCCAGGAGAGGCCGGGCCGCGGGAGGCCGCTGGGCCCTCCCAGCCCCCTCCTCAGAGGGGTGCCAGCCCCTGAGGACTCCGGGAGGGAACCGGGGCTGTGCCCCTAATAGAGAGTGGGCCCTCATTTGCCCCTCTGACCTCCAGGCTTCTTGGTGGGGACAGAGGAACAGGGCTGAGCTGGGACCTGGAGGAAGGGAACCAGCACCCAGGTCCCATGTGGCAGAACTCTGGAACGCGGCAGACTTCCTGTCCAGGAAGTTGCTGACTTCCCCCTGCAGGAGACTTCGCGGGTGTGGGGTCGGGAACAGAGCACTACACCAGGGGCTCAGGAGGCCCGGCCCAAGTCCTTGACCTTAGCCAAGTCCTCTCCCTCCGGCTTTGTTTCCTGGTCTGCACAGCGGGGGGCTTGGCCTTGATCAGGAAGGGCGAGGCGGCCCCTCTTCCTGCCCTCCCCCACAGAGACATCACCCATCAGTCACACGCTCTTTCTGCTGAGTTCAGAAGTGACCTTAACGTCCTTTCCAGTGCAGTGCCCTGGGCAGCCACGACCAATGGATCATGGATCGGAGCTGACATTCAAGGTGACACTTTTCTTCCATCTTTGCAATTGATGACGGCTGAGGTCCCTTCCAGCTCTGATCACCTCCACTTTGTTCCGTCCAGATTTCCTGGGAAGGGCACCTGGGTGTGTGTGCAGGTGTCCACGCCTGCTGCCCCAGGTTATCACCCCAACTTGGACTCCCCGGCTACTGAGGCGGCCCCAGGGGGAGCCACGCCTGTCCCCTGTCCTGAAGCACCTGTCTAGAAAAGTTGTGAGGGAGAGTGTGCCCCCAGTGAGGCAGGGGCTGGTGGGGCACAGGAGGGGCGTGTCCGGCCACCGAGTTCTCGGAATGCAGGTGCTGGCCACCTGGACTCTGCAGAGAGAAGGACAGTCTTAGGTCACTTCCTCTCCCCTCTGCCTCTCAGGCCTGCCTGCATCCGTAAGGGCCAAGACATCTGGTCTCTGCAGGTGCTGGCCTGCACCTTCACTCAGCAAGCACTTCCTGGGTACCTGGCCTGTGCCAGCCATTGCACTGGGTGCTCTGGAAACATGAGTAGAACAGCCCCTGCCCTCAGGGGCTCCTACTCTGCCGGCAAGGGGAACAGGCATCCCAGGTGCCCAGGGCCTGGCGGGTGCATGTAAAGCAGCGGGCCGCCCCCGTGGCCGGGCGAAGGGCAAGCCAGTCCTGAAGGACGATTAGAAGGTTGCCCGGCAGTGGGGGGGTCCCTGCAGGCAGAGGGCCTGGCGTGTGCGGACCCCAGGAGGCCTGGGCCCACTTGGTTTGTGTGCGGGAATCGAGCAGTTCCGGGGAGGACGGGCGGGAAGGCTGAGGCTGTCCCCCCCCACACACACACACTCCGAGGACAGAGCCTCGCGGGCCAGGCAGCTGTTAGAGCACTGGGGGCCGGAAGTGACAAGGCTGGAGGTTCGAGGTCAGTTAAGCAGCTCTGGAGAGGGTCCCGCATTAAAGCGGGAGAGAAAAAACGTGTGAGAGGCTGGGCAGAAATCAGTGGCTCATAGGGGAGTGGGGTGAAGGGGGGAGATGTGGGGGAGCCCGAGGATTCTGGCTCAGGAGGGTCGGGCGCTGGAGAGTGGGGAACTCCGGAGGGGGCGGGGAGCCGGAGAAGGCTGAGGGCAGTGTCTGCTGTGTTAAGTTGGGGGGATGCTGGGGAGCTGAGCAGAAGCCTGGAGAGTCTGGATAGAGACATGGACCAGGGACATCAGCTCTAGGACTGCGGCCAGCAGCAGGCGGCAGGGTTGTGGGTGAGGAACAGGTACAAGGGCTGAGGGGGAACCTGAGGGCGGGGCAGGGAGGGGCCCGAGGGGGGATGCTTGAACACATTCTATGAGATAAGGACTTGCTCGGCCAGGAGGGGGCAGTGGAGGGAAGGCAGAGGGAGGGGGTGGGCCGGAAGGAGGGGCGTGAGGTGCCCCACCCCTGAGCTCATCTGAGATGGTGCAAGGACCCCCAAACCTCTTCCTCAGGCCAGGGGGGCCGAGAGAGCTTAGCCTGGAGGAGGGAGTGGGGATGGCCGAGGGTGCTCGGATGCGGCAGCCTGGACCCTCAGTGCGTCCCATCCCACCTCAGACCGCTGACCTTCACCCTGCCGCAGGCGTCCAACCAGAATGCCTCTGCCTCCCCAGTGTAGCCTCCAGGAAGCCTGGAGGGCTAGCTTCTCCCCGAACCCCCACCTACCTGGCTTCCTGATACAGGCCTGGACCTGCACTTCCGGAGCGCGGGGTGCCCGCGGATGCCGGGCCAGCCCTCACCCCCCGACGGCATCTCCACCTCCACCTCCGCGTAAATGTTGCTGGCGGCTTCCCCGGGGCTGCCCCGGCCCATGGCATAGAAGGCTATGGGCTCGTCGGGCTCCTGGTAGATGGGCACGGAGGGCTTGGGGGGCGGGGCCGGGCGGGGTCGCGGGGCGGGGCTCGTGTAGACGTCGCGGGGCAGCTGCGGCTTCGCCCGCGCGGGGGGCTTGGGCCTGGGCGGCTGCGGGGGCTGGGGGAGAAGGCGGGCGGAGGAGAGTGGGTCGGAGGCGCGAGGCCAGCCCGAGCCGCCCCCTGCAGGCCCGCCCTCCTCGAGGCCCCTCCTGCTGTACCTCCTTCGGCTCGCCCGCCCCCTCCTTCTGCGTGGGCGCCGCAGGCTGCTCCTTTTTGAGGATTGGGCTATACTCGGGGGGTGGCTCCTGGCTCTTGCTTCCAGAGTCTGAGTCTTCAGTCTTCAGGGAAAGTCCTGTGGGCTCAGGTTTCTGCTGGGAAAGGAGGAGGCCTGAGGGACGGCGAGGCGCGGGAGGGAGGGCGGTGGGAGAGGGGGCCTGCCCTCCCGGAGGACCAGATAACCCGGCCCGGCTGGCAGGGGCACAAGACTTTGGCCTGCACTGGGTACCCTGGGTCGGGAAGAGCAATGGAGACGGGAAGGAGACCAGGGGCTGGGAAGCTCTGGTCACCGGCAGTATCCAGAGTGAAACTCAATGGCATCTGGGGCACAGGGCCAGGCTGGTCTCCATTCGCGCCTGCGGTTGCAACAATGCAGCAAGGCTTGAGAAATCTTTAGCTCAGAATCAGATCCCAAATCCATATGAGTCTATAGGGTCCCCGCCCTTCGCCCCTCCGACGTGGTCTCCCTGTCCAGCCTGCTGGCTTCCTCACCGCCCTCGCCCTCCAAACACGTCAGCACCCCCCGCCTCAGGGCCTTTGCACCTGCTGTTCCTGCTGCCCGGGACGCTTTTCCTCTAGTCCGCGAGGCTCCCTGCCTCGCTTCATTCAGGTCTCCATTCAAATGTCCCTTTACCAAAGCAGGCTTCTCTGCCGTCTCTATGTAAAATAGCCCCAAACCTGTCACTCCCGTCACTGCTTGGTTTTTCTCCTTAGCACTTACTTGCCATTAGTGAACCTATTCTCATCTGTTTGTGTTATGTATCCATTGTCTCCTCTCCCGAGAATGTAAGCTCCGTGAAAGGGATATTGGGGTCGTTTTTGTTCACTGCTGTTGTCCCAGCGCCTGGAGCAGTGCCTGGCACGAACTTCCCCAGGGAGGCGCCCCCTGACACAGCTCCAGGTGACCCGAGTGGCGCCCTACCTGTTCCTCATGCCCTTACCCTTCATTCCCTTCGTGTGTCTGTCTTTGCTGCTGGTGGGGGACCTCGGTGGCTTTGGGACCCGACCATCTTGTCCATGGCCTGTGTCCAGGGCCTGCCAGCATCTGGTACGCGCGGTACTCAGCAACTATCTCTTAACTTAACCCTTCTCCCATTTAGAAAAATAAGCTCTCTGCCAGCGTTAATCTATGATCACATGTAGATGAATGCTCCGTTTTCTAGAACTGACATTTTCAGCAGTTGAGAATGACTGTATTTTGTAATATTGCTCTGGGAAAATAATAACAAAAGTGAGGTAGTTTGTGGCACACTTTGGGGGTGAGGTGAGGTTAGGACTGTCATCTGCGAGCTATCTCCGGGTAAACACTGCTGGGGAGTATTCTCGGGGCAAACAGGAAATGGGTTAGAAAACAAATGACCCAGTTCCTTTCGGTACACTTTCAGCCCCTCCGGTCTCTGTGGCTGGGCTGGTCTCTCGAGGACCCCTGTGCCCCAGCAGGCATCTTTCTGGAAGGGCTTGCCACAGAGACCCGTGTGCGAGGGAGGCGGGGCCGGCAGTCAGTCCCGTGAGAAAGCGTCCGGAGCCGGGATCCGCGGCCTGGGCTCTGACTGAGAAGGTCGGGGCCTGGGTCCCAGGTCAGGGTGGGGGCCCGGCGTACCTGGCGGGCGAGGGGCTGGCTGAGCGTCTCCCCGTAGGGGCCGAGTGGGCATGCCGTGTAGTGCTGCAGCAGGTCCTGCAGCCGTGCGTGGGTGCTGTCCTCGCCCAGCACCACGTGGCTCCCGTCCCTGAGCTGGGCCAGCAGGAAGTGGCGACAGCAAGTCTGGCTTCTAGAGGGTACCGGTCGGGATGAGACCCCACTCCAGTCTCCCTGGCCAGGGCCAGGTGTCCCAGGAGTAGGGAGCAGGGGAGGATGGCTGAGGAAAAGCCAGGCTCCTGCACCTGGGGCCACACCCAGGTCCACACCCAGGTCCGCCCCTCCCACTGGCCCGAAGCCCCGCCTGCAAGTCGCTGGGTACTGCCCCGTCCCTCATCCCCCTCATCCCTCACCGGTAAGTCAGCACGAAGGTCTTTCGCACCAGGTAGCATCCCAGTGGCTGGGGCTCCAGCAGCCTTTCCGCTTCCCTGTAGGGGACGACGGAGAAGGGATGGACGCTGCTCTGACTCTTCCAGCCTGCCCTCCCTCCTGGATCTCACGGGGGACCCCCATCCCCAAAGAAGCAGGCCGAAATGGTTAGAGAAGGGGGAGGAGGGAGGACGCAGGTGCAGTTCTCGCGGAGGGGGCTCCCAGCCCTGCACCCGCCCCCAGGCTTCTCTGGGAATGGCAGCCTGGCGGGTGGCGACGGCACCAGGGCTGGTGAAAGGTGCCCGCAGTTGCAGGCTGGACAGAGGAGGCGAACCACGCACGGGAGAAGCAAGCTGAGGGCTGGAGAAGAGGAGCTGCCGGGCGGAGGACAGAGCAGAGGGCTGGAGAGCCAGCGGTCAGGGTGCAGTGGGAGGCGCCTGCGGACGGGCGGGAACTTGAGGACCAGGGCCCTCAGCTGCAGGAGGAGGATTGAACCTGGAGGGTGAAGACCGGCACGGAGGGGGTTGGGCTGGAGGTCTCCGGTGACCTCTCCCAGGAGAGAGGCCTCGGTGATCGAATGGCCTGGGAACGTCCAGGGGTCACAGCCTGGACCTGTAGCTTCAGTCTCCTCCTGCCTGGCCGGGCACCGGGACTCGGCCCTGCCTGTCCCTCAGCCTGTGGCCTCCTCGGTGACTCACCTCCGGGTGATGAAGCCGTGGAACCAGGGAGGGGCCGCCCCGTGCTGCAGGAGCCCATGGGCCTGCGTCTTCTGGAACCAGGCCCGGGTCTCGGCCTGCAGCAACTGGCCACCTTCCCTCGGCACCTCCTCAGCCTGTCCGGCGTCCTCTGGCCTGGTGGCAGTCCCCAGGGCCGGGGGAGATGCCTGCTGAGGGGCAGAGTTCGAGGAGGAAAAGCAGCCATGACTCGCGGGCCACCCTCTCGTCCTCCTCGGCCCCATCCCAGTTGCCCATTTGGGGGTATCATTGCCCAGAAAGCCCTTCGGCTCCGACTGATTTGGTTTCTAAGGAATTCTCTCCCATTCCCCTGGACCCCGAGGGCCTTCCGTCCAATAGCATAAACGGGGTGAGGCCTTTCAGATACACAGAAAGTCCTCCGTGGCTTGAGGGGTCAGGGGAGAGGTGTGGGAGGTCACCCACGGCCAGGGGGACTGGGTGGGCGAGGGGGACGGAGGTGGGGATGTGCAGGCAGGCGTGGAGGCCTGCCTCCTTCCGGGACTCATGCGCGGCACCCTGGCCGCCTGGGGCCAGCCTAGGCCCGGCCTGGGCCGCCCAGGGGCAGAGGAGCAGGAGTGGGCAGTTCGGCCCCTGGCCAAGGCACCCGCCAGCTCCATTCCGGCCCTCTGTGCCCCGGCCGCAGGTGGCCCCAGACCACCTGTGGGAGGGCGGGGAGCAGAGGAGGGCGCTGCATGCCCAGGTTCCCACTCACCGCAGTGACAGCCAGGGCTCTGGGGCCGGGCTGGGCCTCCTCGGCCTTCGGGGCCTGGGGTCTGGGCCCCGGAAGTAAGCTCAGGCCCGGGCAGCTCCTGCTCGTCAAGTCCAAGGGCTGGAAGGTGCTGAAGGTTGGGGCAGGGTCCCTGCGGCCCCCTGTTAGTGCAAAGAGGCCGGCCAGGGCTTCTCAGTGAGCCGCTGCCTCTCCCCACTGCCCACCCCACCCCCAGGCTGAGGGGCCCGGCGGCCCTCGGACCGGGGATCTGGGGGACAGGGATGTTGACGACCATAGGAGAAATGCAGGGGTGCGATTTCTCAGAGAGGGGGAGGCTGGAGCCAGGGCGGCCAGAGGGGCTCGTGGGGGAAGCAGCACCAGGAAAGGGAGCTGGGGCGTCAGAAGTCTAGCGGGGAGGCGGGTCTCCATGCAGGCCCCTCTCCTGCCCTGCGTCCTCTGCCTTCCCCCTCCCCCTAAAGCACAGGGCAGACCCTGTCACCTCTGTTCTCGGGGCTGAGTGGACCTGCAGCCCCACAGAGGGAGAAGGGGTTGTGGGCGCTCAGGCATCAGCCTTGCCTGCTCTGGCCTGGGGGAACCCCTCTCCCGGGAGTGGGAGTCCTGGCCTGAGAGAGGGCAGGGGCCTGAGGGTCTTGTCCCCTGCGACACTCGTCAATGTCCACTCACCTGGGGGGCCTGTCCGGGCCAGGGGGAGCGCCATGGGGGCAGCGGAAGGGGCCCGGGAGCGGGCGTGGGTCTGCACACTCAGCAGCTCTCACCCGGCCCGGCAGGAAGTGTCGCCTCACCCGCAGCCCGGGCCCTGGCGGGGACCCACGTCATGGAAAGCCGTGAGACACTTGTCCCTCCCCCGGAAGCCAGGCTGAAGGCGGCGGTGGCACGGCGGTGGCTTGCGTGTCACTCCGTGTGTTCAGACGGGCTTGCCGCTGCTGACCTCCATCTCACCTGATCCTTTCGCTCCAGACGGGGCCTCCCCCGCCGCGTCCTCTCTGAGTAGGAGCGGTGGGCATGACAGCCGCAGAAGGACAAGCCCTACGGGGTGCTCAGGCTTCAGGATCCTGGGAGGTTTACGCTCAGGATTTCACTCTCAGGACACGCGGGGACAGGAGGGGGCGGGGCTGTGGCAGGAAGCTCACTTTGGGGCCACATAAAATCTGAGACCCAGGGTAGAGAGGAGGGGACCTGGCTTCATCCTCCAGCAGATAACAGGGCTGGGCCAGGGCACAGCAGGCGGTCCTGGAGGGAGCGGGGTTCCCTCCGGCTGGGGGGCCGCTGGGGGCAGGGACATTGTCCGCTGCCGTTAATAACTCCGGGGCCCGTGTATCCACCGCGCAGCGCGCTGTGTCTCCTGCTGCACCCGGGCACCGGCCCCATGCTCCTCTCGTTCGATGCTCCCCAGTGAGAAGCGAACGCTACCCCGTTTCCAAGGCAGGACCTGGGGCTGAGAGGCCCGCCTCGGCCAAGGTCCCCTGTCCCGGAAGTCGGTGGCCGAGCTGGACCTGGAACCCGGGTCTCTTACCAATCCCACCGTGACCGAGGCCAGCGGCCCATGACCATGTGCCAGGACCCAGAGGGAAGGAGGCGGCTCCTGTCTTGAATCGTGGGGGCGGATGGACCTGCCATGGACAGTCCCTGTGGCGAGTCGGTGGTGTGGGCGGTGTGCGCGGCGGTGCTATCCGCCGGCCTTGGAGGCCCCCGCTCTGGCCGGGGTGGTGCGTGGGGGCCGGGCCATCGAAGCGGGGACGGCCGTGCTGTGCGGGAACACGGGGAAAGGTGTGACTGCCTGTGCAGATGCGTGGACATGGCGCGGGGGACATCGGGCTGGGGCTGCCAGCGTGCTTGGTCCCTGCAGCGGGCCGGGCCGGGCCGGATTACATGCTGCCTTGCACCCAGGGAGGAGCTTGGACCCCCGACACTCAGCCACTTCTGCACCGGCTCTGGGCAGGGGGACACGTTCCCCAGCAGCTGCCAGCCAACCACAGCCATACCCCAAGACGGAGCTGCCCGCTCCCTCTTCCCCTCCTGAAAAACCACTGCCTGAGCCTTGGTCCCAGCCCCCGGGGCTTGGGAAGGAGCCGGAGAGGTGCCTTGCACACCTTCCTCCCCACGCTCCTTGCTGGGCTGAGTGGGAGACTGGGCCCTGAGGGGCAGTCGCCGGCCCAGGATCAGCGCAGTTAGAGGGGGGGCTGGGCCTCCTGATCCGATGACGAAGCCAGTTCTTGAGCAGTCGCAACTCGGGGGCTCGACTCTGCCGTGGTTTTCTCTCTGGCACGGTCGCCGCCTTCGACCAGGCTCTGCCCCGTCTCTTCCCTCGCAACAACATCCCGCGAAGATGATGTGATTTTCACTCACTTTCAGGCGTCAAGAGTTCAGTCCAGTCCATTAAAAACTGCAGCCTGCGATCAGTATCTGACTTAAACTCCTTTCCCTCCGTCCCCCGGCCAGCGGGGAGGGAATCAGAGTGTGTGGGGGGTCTGCCCTCCTCCCCGACCTTCTGGGGCTGGGGCAGGACTGGGAGGGGAGGGGGCAGAGGGCCCCGTGTCTGTTGTCCGCTGCCGTGTGACACGGTGCCATCGGCTCAGCCGTTTAAAATGGCACATGTTTATTACTCGCAGTGTCTGTGGGTGTCGTGGGTGAGGAGTCCGAGGCACACCGTGGCCGGCTGCTCTGCCCGGGGTTGTCCCTTCGTCTGCTCTGGGGGCCAACCAGGCCCTCACCCCCCTCGCTGCCCCGCCCTCGTTGGTAGTCATAGTGACCCACTGATGGTCATCACCAGGCACGGAGGTACTAAGTGCGGGGGTGCAGGACACCCCGCTCCTCGCCCCACCGTGCAGCGGCCTGAGCAGCTCCTCCTGGCGACACTCTCCCTTTGCCTGTCCACTGAACAAGCGACCGAAATGGAGGGCGGCAGTGGCCGCTCCCAGTCTGGTGGCCTTACGGTGGCACCTGGGAGAAGTCTCTTTCTGTGAACTCGGAACTCTAACCTGGAAGATGCCAAGGTCACAGTGGAGACAAGCGTAAAGTCACTGGACGTCACTGCACCGGGAGCCATTCCCAGTTCCAGCCCGGGACCCACACCGTGCGTTCTGGTGACGGGAGACTGTACGCCTTCGTCCCCCCGCTTCTGACGTGGAAACCCTGACCCCCCAAAGGATGGCATGAAAAGGCGAAGCCTCTGGGAGATAAGGGTGGACCATCTGGGAGATAAGGGTAGGCCCCTAGGGTGGGGTGAGTGACCTTACAGGAAGTGGAAGAGAGCCAGCGCCCTGGCCCCCGCCCCCGTCGCGTGAGGGTGAATGATAACACGGCCATGTGCGAACCGGAACCAGCGTCCTGGCCAGACGCCCAGTCTGGGGGGCCTGGTCTTGGACCTTCAGCCGTTAGAACTGAGAGAAATAAGCGTTTGTTATTTAAGCCCCCGCCCACCCCATCCCCGTTGCAGCAGCCCGAGCTGACCCAGGACAGGGACACGGCACCATAGTGCACGCGTGGGCTTAAGGCACTCGTCCTGGAGGGCAGGGCTCCAGCCCCATGAAGGGTCATTTCCCCAGACAGTGCCTGAGCCTTCGACAGGCCACTCTGTCACTCCATGCAGCCAACGAGCTCTGGGTGACGTGGCAGGACCAGAGCCCCTGCGGTCACAGCCTGTGGTGCCTCTGCAGCACGGCGGGTTCCTTGGTCTGAGGCACCGTGACGCGGGCACCGTGTTGAGACATCTGGCATTCCGGAAGCACGCGGCGCTGCTGGTTTGTGTTGATCCCGGTGAGGACAAATCACTGCCCCCTTGAAAGGGGTAGGGGCTCTGCTGTCACCGACCTGGCACTGCGGCTGGACGTTTCCTCCCCTGCTGAGGAGCAGCACCGCACACGGGCTGTGTCGGTCTCCGCCGTGAGCACGGGGCACTCAGCGGCGGGTCTCAACCCTGGACAGACGGCGTCATGACCTCGAGCCCGTGCAAAGCCACCATCTCACAGCCAAGTCCACCGTTTATCAGCCGGCGTGCCGGCGCCGGTGACCGATGGCTGCAGGGGAGGGCTGACTGACAGCCACGGGTTGAGGCGCCCTACCCAGTGGCCGTCGCCCGTCCCTTGTGCGGGGTGCTCTGTGGTAGACGTTGACATGAGCCTGAGCAGCTGCACCCCCTGTGCGTGGAACGCCAGGAGGCCCTCGTCTCAGCCCGGACCTGCTGTCCACTCACGCCCCTCCCAGACCTCTTTTCTCCAGTAGTTCACAGTGGACAACCGATGCGTGCTGGCCGACTTCTTTCACCACCCTGAGCGAAGGGACACCCTGAGTGGGACCTTAGTGCTGGCACCTGCCTCGGCTGGCAACGGAAGGCCCCTGAGAAGCAGCAGAGCGGTAGAGGCAGGTGGGCCGGGCCTCTGGGCCACCTGCTCACGTGATGCGCTTACACACTCTGGTCCAGAGGCGTCAGCCCTGTGGGTTACTGCCTGGCCTGTCCGACCTGTGCCACATGGGCCAGATAACTCTCAGCTTAGGAGGGGGCAGCTCG